CAACGACTCCAGACAATGCCACAAGCAGAGGGAAACTATCAGGAAAGGAGTCCCTACGAGAACTTTGCCCACAGCTCTCACCAGACGCCTGGTTCCTATTTAGTATTTGTATTGACCCAGTTGTAAATTGGATGGTTTTCTCCAAATCTGCTCCAGTTGCTCTCTCATCTGTTGAATTTTTGCCTTGGTTCCCATTTAAAATTATTTCTTTTCACTTCTAAATTATAATTTCCACATGTCTAAAATTTAATTTTAAGCCCTTTGAGGGGTACTTGTAATAACTAAAACTAAGGTAGGGGTGCCTGTCAAGACCCAGCCTCCTGGATCTTGTTCGGTGTGGAGGAGCATCGCTCTCTCTCCATCCCTTGTGTATTAGTGAGGGTTTTCCAGGGAAACAGAACCAATAGGATAACACATATTTATATACAAAGGATTTATCATAAAGAATTGGCTCACATGATGGTAGAGGCTGGCGAGAGGCAGGAGAGCTGATGTGATAGATGAAACCTGAAGGCAGCCCGGTGGAGAATTTTCTCTTACTCAGGAGGGCCAGTCCTTTTGTTCTATTCAGGCCTTCAACTGATTGGATAAGGCCCACCACATAATGAAGAACAATCTGTTTTATTCTACTGATTAAAATATTTAATCTCATCCAAAACACACCCTGGCAGAAACACCCAGAATAGTGGTTGATCAAATATCTGGGCACCCCATGGCCCAGTGAAATTGACATAAAATGAATGATCATGGTCTTTAACCATCACTCCTTCCTGTACCACAAAATCCTACAATGGAAAAGAGCTAGGCCTTGGATTTCAAGGACTAAGTGTTAGGCCCTGTTGACAATGTAGTTTTGTAGCAGAAATGCAAGTAGACTTTGATATCAAATGTACCTCAGTCAATCCTCTATTCACCAGTGCAGTTCAGGGACCTCAACCAAGTTACTCAATTTCTCAGAATCTCAGGTTGGTTCTTTGAAGAGCAGAGATTACAATTTCTCTCTCATAGGCTCATTATGAGAAATCAACTAAATGACATCCCTGAAAGTTCCTGGCACATGATATGCTGCCAGTGAATCTTATCCTAGCAGGAGTCCCAGCTGTGTTGTTTGCTACTGATAGTTAGCCTTGTCTGGCTGCCTGGGAGGGTGGGGCTGCCAGGAGACTTTGCTTCAGGAAATGAAGAGCCTCCTGGGAAAGAACTCATACAGAATGAGACTGTCAGACAAGCTTGGCTGAGGAGAAGAAAAAGAGTGATCTGGGGAAAGGCTGGCTTCGATTTTCTGGCGCTGTGCCTCTCCCCAGCCCAGCCCAGAACCTTCCATATGTAGTCGTATCAGAGTCCTGGGGAGAAAGGACATTCTGAATAAAAACAAAGAGCAATTTCTTCTAGAAACATCTGGTTCATGCTCTTACCCTCCTTCCACTCTCTTTTCCACACACTCACAGTCACTGGGGAGAATGCTGGCTGCACTACCTGCTCTGGGACTCTTTCTTTCCTTGGCCTGGTGAGTCTGGCTTCCTAAGCCCAACTCAGTCTCAGAGCCTGGATTCTCTGGTTGGATTATTTGAGTGAAGTAAGCACCTGGCTTCCTTTTTGTCCTTCCCAAGTCTGTATTCATCAGCTAGATGAGCATTTATAAGGACCTCCAGTGGGACTTAGGTTTTCTAACCAAAATATGCAAGTCCAGTTCCTAATTAGCAACTAAGCAGGTTAAGCCACCTTTTATACTGACAGACCCATTCCATGGTAGGCCACTTTGCTGATTTATCCTCTACACTACCCCTCCAAACAAGGAAGCAGGTACTCGGTAGATCAGGACAGCATGAGGAATTCACCTTGGGAATTGGCCCAGGTATAAACTGGAATGGCGCTGCAGAGATGCTTAAGTTTTACAGGCTGAACTAGCCCAACCCAGTACGCCCAGAATTAGACATTATCCTTTCAACCCTGAGGCTCCCTTTGTTTCCCTGTCTGCAGTCCCCACCCTGTACTGGCCAGTGCCTTCAGTAGATAAAAACAGTCCTGCTTTCCATCCCCACCAAAGAGCTCTTCTAGATTAGTGCTCTGCAACTGCATTTTCTGTAATAACAGAAATGCTCTATATCCTCAATATCCAATGTGATAGCCACACATGGCAGCTGAACACTTGAAATGTGCTAATGACTAAATGAACTAAATTTTTAATATTATTCAATTTTAATAAGTTTAAAATGTAACTGAGAGCCAGTGACTACCGTATTGCATCATGAATATCTAGATAATTACTTCTTAGCCACATGAGGCTCATTTCTGTCATCCAATGGATCCATAATCCTGTTTTCAGGGCCCTGGATCCCAGCTATGTGGTTCCATTCTCTTTGCAAGGCTCAACTTCTAATGAATTTGAATTCCTCGATGAGGAAATTCACAGGCAATAATTTCTGGTGGAAGTAGCTCTGTACCACGCTCAAACAATCCTGAGGCAACTAATTATAAATTTAATCCTAGGCAAGTTGTTTTGAGGGTCATCACTTGCAAGCCCTAACAGTGGAAACCCAAAGGGTAAATACCAGTTTGGTTCCAATTCCGAAAGACCTCTGGAGCCTCCTTGTTTCCCCAGGATGCTCCCAATAGACCTTCTTCTGTCATTCACCCTGCATATCAGTCTGTTCTCTTCCTGCCCCAGTAGATGTAGGGATTACCCTTCCTCAAACCCCTGACGGTCAAAAGTATATTCATAGAGTAAAAGCATTTCCCCACAATCAAAAATGTTTTAAAACTTCATCATTGGTTTCTTGTTCTGAACAGAGCTCATTCTACATGATATATATATATATATATATATATATATATATATATATATATATATATATATATATATATATGGTTCTCAGAAGCTTGCTCTGGTAGAACAAAAGTAAGTGGTCCTCAAAATCTACTCTCAAATTCAAAATACATAAGACCAGGACAGATTCACACATGCCATCTTTGATACTCATTCAGTAGGTCTCAGGTGGGGCATGTTTGTAGGCACCCGGGAATACTAATGCAGGTAATTCTTGGCATTCACTTTCAGCAAATCTGAACTAGAAAAAAAATAACTTAAGTTTCTTAATTTCATCTGTGGGCAAGGTACAATAATTTGATAGCAAATTTACGTGCAAAATGAAAAATGCAACCTAAAGCGCCTTACAATAAAATCAAAGACATATTCTCTTGGTTTTCAGTTTCCTCCTGAAACTTTCACATCACTTATATCCTGCAGTGGTGTGTTCACCTCTTTCCCAGGAATCTAAATCGAATTACCTCCTGAACCCACCTCAGAAATTGTTCCACTCAGAACAATGCCACGTCACCCCACAATCCAGTGGCCTGGTCACCCTTCTGCTCCAGTGTCATTCGCAGGGCCCATTATACACAGGCACCAGTCACTGCTCCTCAGACAGCAAATGAGAGCTTTCCAGACAGCCTGTAACACTTTTTGCCATGCCTCTTTCTCACTTCCAAGGGCCCAGGCTTCATTTATCTGTCTGGGCTATGACTCTACTCCTGCTGCTAACCTTGAGTTGCTAACGCTCTGACATATAATAACAACAAGCTTTTGAATGGCAGCAAGCCTGTGACAGGTAAGGAAAGCTTGTGCATTAGAAGTAAGATTAAAAAGCTCATGGACTCCTCAAGCCTTCATTCCTGCCTAAGGCTCCCAAAGGTTTCCTTGCTTCTAGGACATATCATTTTCTATCCTCTGGGGACAAATCCATTTGACATATATTTGTCACCTACAAATCAATGGACAAACCCAGCACAATAATAGGATTTTAGAAGATTCAGAATTTAGGCTAATTTGGGCAGGAGTCATGATGGATGTTCAGGAATATGGGAAGAGAGGCTAGGAGGAACTGGCAGAGGCATCTAATTACTTAGAAAGAGCAGGGACTGGGATAACTGACTCAATTGCACCAACAAGCTCTGGAGGGTAAATGAGAAGATCCAAAGGGACTAAACCCAGTATCTGAGTATCAGTATCAGTATTTGTTTGAAGGGCACGATGGTGAGAGACCCAATCAGCAGCCATCATTCTGGCCATATATATACATGTTAGGATCCCAATAAATATCTGGGGCTAATGGCATGCTATAGAGTACAATATAGCTATGGCTTGGTTTGAAATAAGGCAGTAAATTAAGATTCAGAAAGGCAAATTTAGGCAGATAGAAAAACAATGGCCAGGTGACTATAACAAAATTCTTCTTTGCTCTGTCAGAATTAGCTCAGGAACTAGCATGGCATGAGTAGGACCCGTAGGCACTTTGTGTCATTTGTGCTGCTATTCATCAAGTTAACTGAGCCACTCTTCTTGATACTTGGGCTCTGCTGTAAAACTGCAGGCTACATCCTAAAACACACCGTCTACACCAGTTGTAGGCTCCACACCCAGATTTGCCACCATCTGTCATTCATGTCACCATTCCAGTCACAGCATCTTCCTAAGGAATCAAGAGGGCCTGGGGTGCAGGATTCTAACAGTGCCTCGCATTCAACTCAACACTTGGGCCACGCCCTCCCAGTTAACCCTCCATGGGTAGCTTTCTTTTCCTTCTTCCCTGCCACCTCTCACCTCCATTAATTGTAAGAGAACTATCAAAAGAGGACTATTCAAGCCTAGCACAGCTGGCTAACATGTTGGAGGTGAAAATAACAATGCTTGTGAAATTCATATCAATACCAACCAAATGGTAAATAAAATAAAATCAAAGGTATAAGATCACCAAGATCACTGTTATAATTTGCAGATGAAAGTTTTTCATGCTCTTGACAAAAAAACAAAACAAAACAAAAAAAAAATGGAACACATGATATGGGCAGTGTGTGATCCAACCCAAAGATGTTTTGTTCACTATAAACAGGCATTAATTTGCATGTGTTTATTATACTGATTTTCATGCACATTGGATGTCAATTAAGAAATTGATAAACCTCTTTCCTGAAATGATTAAAGAAGAAAAATATTAACATACCATTAATATGCTCACCAGGAAATAGGACTCAGTCATGATTGTTGAAAGTCAATGTCCATGCTAATGAAAAAGTTGGCCTTCTTCTCCCACCTTAGAAAATGGATGAATTGGAATCTTCATCTGCAATATAACAACAGGCATACATTAAAATGTTTCATACTTGAAAAGTAACACCTTAGTCAAACTCAGAAAAAAAAGCTTTCTACTACGTATTCATGCAAGCTTCACAAGTTATATTGGATTTGAATAATTAATAGCATATTCATTAAATACCCTAAAAAGTCAAGGTATTTGAATATATACACACATTTATATCTATTATCTATAAGAGATGATCAACTAATATCTACAAAGTTTAAACTGATTGAAGAATGCTAGAAGTTTGGAGAAAATAACATCCCCTAAATGCAACCTCCGTCTTGACCACATTGTATGTCAAGAATTGTGGAGAAAGTAAATCATGCCCCCTTGCCTTCAGTAAACAGAGATACTGCAACTTTGGCTTTAAATGGAACTAAAGGAACATCCATCTTTCAATCAACCATTCATTCAGCAGAACTTTGTTCAGTGTCTACCAAATATTTGGCACTGTGCTAGCTAATAGAAATTCAAGTGAATTGATGAATGCATCTTCAAGTTGAAAGAGACATTCCCATTCTTGCTATGAGGTGCTCTCCCATTATCAGCTGACCCACTGAGAACTATAAAACAAGAAAGAGTATATAGACATGTTAGAGGAGGAGAGCGAGAATAGGATGTGTAAGTACTGAGGCTAAATCCATAAGCAGACAGCCTAAAGGAGCCTTTTACTCCATGCATAGATGACGTGCACTCTGGGATTCATTGAAGGCTTTAAATGTATGTCATACATTTTAATGGATGTCTGTTGTTATATTGCAGATGAAGGTTTTAAACTGAGAAGTAATGTGGTCATATCTTTGATTTAGAATATTTGGAGATAGGATTGGGGTCAAGATCAAACCTGGTATCAGGTGTGTCAGTAATGATCTGTGACTGTGATCAAGGAAAAAATGCAAGGCAGTTTTGGTCTATAACAGGTGTGCTGGGAGTACCCAAGCAGGGAAAGATTCCAGTGATATTTAAGAGTTAGTTTCCACTGGACTAAGTGATTGAGTGTATATAAAGGATGAAGAGAGGGAGAAGGCAAAGATGATGTTTCACTTCACCTCCCTGGACCCCAATTCTTTCATCTATAAAATGGATTTATTTTCATAAGAGTATTTACAATGCAGGGTTGTCATAGGTATAAAATGAAAACAATGAAAGCAGAATGACTTTGTAAACTGGAAAACTCTATATAAATGTTTGTTGAAAACAACAACAACGGGCCGGCTAAGTGGCATGCTGGTTAAGAGCTGGCTTGGGGCACCAGCTCTGTGCAGCAGGGCCCCAGTTCGGATCCCACATGAGGGCCAGTGACACTGCCCTCTACAGCTAAGATGGTGAACAACAGCTCAACCTGGAGCTGGGCCGCCATGAGTCACCGGCGATGGCTAGGTGGCAGCCCCTGCTGCAGTGGGTTGCCATAAGCTACCGCGAGCAGCTGGCAGCTGGTGTAAGCTGCCAAGAGCCACCGTGAGCGGCCGTCCAGAGGCCGGCGACCAATCTGCTCACCAGGGAAGAGCGCAATGATAATACCAACATAGGCCAGTGAAGCAACGTCCTCCACAACTAGACTGAAGAACAAAAGGACAGCGACTTGTCTGTTCCCCTTCCCTGATTCCCCCAATGCTGTTTCCCTCCCCCAATTCCCCAATAAAAAAAAAATCTTAAAAACAACAACAACAAAAATGTGTTAGAGGAAGAAATTCTGTTCTTTGAATCTCAGTTTTTTCATCTACAACAATGGAATAGTGAGGCTGCTTTCAAGGTCTAACGTTTCTGGACTCTATGACACTTTTCTTGACAAGGTGGAATAATTCACCCAATTCCTTGAGGTGAGATGGAAAGACAAGCCACTAACCACTACTACAGTTTCAAAGATGATCCTTTAATTCTGCTCCATGCCCTAATTGTAGGCAGCCATTTGTCTACACAAAGCATCTTTACTGTGTACTTTCTCTCCGTGCCAGCTCTGGACATGAGACTGTGCCACGGATTTTAGGATGAGCTGCTTAAACTCTAAGATGCCTCTGCATTACTTACATACAATCAATATTCTGCATATCCTAAATAAACTTCCCTCCCTCCACCTTGCAAAATGAAGGCCAGCCACACTTCCTTGCAACCCCTCAGATGAATGCCCTGTTGCTTCTCAGAGAAGCTCTGGCCTTTCTGTCTCTAGACCTCTTCATAGCTGTCTTAGTTCCCAGTGATGGCACCAGGACCGTTTTGGAAATGAATAAACTTCAACAAAATATATGAAGTACCAAAATCACTGATCGTGTGCTTAAACAGCCATAGTCATTATAGTTGTGTTTTGAGTTTGATCAATGAATCCCCATTGATTTACCCAGAAAGAGTAAATAGAAAAACAAGTTCACTCTAGACTGTGGCTTTAACAAACAAACCATTCTACAGTAATTCAGGAACCATGAATATTCCAGTTGTTTCTCCACTTCCCTTTTCAACTGTAGGCTGGTCTTGAACCTTGTAGGACCCCTCTTCTTCCTGGACTTAGCTTTTTCTCAAGTTTTTATTTAAGAAAAAATAATACACAAAGTATTACATTTGTTTAGCGTTTCTCTACAGGGTCAACTACTTGATGCCACTGTGATCAGGGAGAAACACAAGTCTTTGTACTTTTTTTCTGGTTGGAAATTATAGTTGTTTGCATTCAGATCACTCTTTAAAGCATTCGTTTCACACTTGATTTTATTCAAGTTTAAAAGCCATCAACAATTGTTTTTTCCATTGCTGCTATTTCTTGGTTACCAACTGAGAAAAAAAAAAAAAAGGTATAATCTATACGGGATAAGAAAAAACTTCTTAACTTACTTGGTAAAATATGAGAGCAGAGAGTCTTAGAGAAAATTAATTGTTAATCCAGCCAACCACCAGGATAATTTAGAGAAGATAGATGTTTAAAGAAAAAAAATTATATATATATGTATGTGTGTGTGTGTATACACACACACACACACACACAGTGGGGGGGTGCCAAAAAAATGTATACAAGTGGGCACTTTGGTCAACATTGCTCAAACAGTAGTTTGCCGTAATCAGAAGTATCTGGACGCTGATGGTAACCACTATGAGCACCTCTTGAAATTGCAGAAGTCAAATGTGACTTGTATTCATCTTTTGGTATTGGTATATATTGAGTATTACAATTTTAATACCGTTTTCCTTTTTTAAAATGTGTATACACTTTTTTTTGGCACCTTCTCTATGTATCAGAATTGAGGAAAATGACTATTCTTGTCCTACTTTTTTTTTTTTGTAAGGATAGCATCCATTCCATTTTTTTTCCAAGTATAGAGTTCCTCATTGTTTCTAGCTCATTAACTTTCGTCTCTCCCAGAACAACACATTTCAGCACTGTTTTGCATATGGGAGGCATAAACAAAAGCAGGACATTTTAAGGCAGGATCCCATGGGGCCTTCAAGAAGTTTATATTTCCCTGGAAACTCTGAGAATCTTTTGCCCAGCTAAGGAGAACATCTGCTTCCTCTTAACAACTTTAAATACACTTTGATCCTGACGTCTTTCATATCACCCACACAACGTATTTGAGGTTTTCCTGAGTAAAATGGGAGAGCAGAGTGACTTTTAAGTTGGGGGCAAACTGCCACTTTCCAGGAGATATTTAAAGGTTTTGCTCAGGCATCAAAAAGCACAGTTTTTGTGCTGCTGATTCTTGGTTCTTCCTTAGAAACCTCTTTCTGCAATAACACTTAGCATCTATGCAACATTTTTAAAACATTAAGCAAATTACTCCTCAACCAACTCTTTGTCAGGAAGTCAATTAGGTAGAATATAATTTGTAGATGGAAAACCAAGAAACGGGCTGACTTAATTAGAATTCAGATGTATACTCCATGCTTCCCATTATCCCTCTCCCCCAACCACCAAGAGTTTCCATGCGTCAGCATGATTTTAGCCAAGATCATCCAGTAGCATTACTTCTTGATAATTGTCTACTTGAATTTAAAATGTTCCACCAACTGCATTACTTGGGGTTCCTTTATTTATGAGTTCATTCCAAAGCACCTACTAAGTACAGTGTCGCCTTTTAGACATGGCAGCTCATTTTTATCAAATTAAATAATAATCTAGCACAGGGGTCAGAAAACTACAGCCCCTGGCCCTTGTTTTTATAAATAAAGTTTTATTAGAACATAGCCATACCCATTTGTTTAGATACTGTCTATGGCTGCTTTTGTGCTGTAAGAGCCCAGTTGAGATTGAAGCTTGACTCAATAGTTAGGAGAGATATCAGGCGACCCAGCCGCCCCAACTGTTTACCACGTGGCCCTTTACCAAATAAGTTTGCCTATCCCTGTTCTAGCTCAGCGATTTCCAAATACCTTGTCTAGCTGCACATGGGTCTTCTGAGAACCTGGTTAAAGGCACAGATCCTGCACCCAGGAGACTGTGACTCAGTAGGTCAGTGGATGGAGCACAGGAATCGGTCTTTTTAAAAACCTTTCCGGTGACTGGGTTGTATAATTCCATTTGAGGAATGCTGTTGCAGGTGATACAGTTTAAGGGTATTCAAGTGACAGAATTGTTTTTAAATGTGAGGAGTGCCCATGGGGTGAGATTAAGGAAAGGCTTCTTAAACATGGTAATTATCTGCAGGTTTTGATGGGTTTGTATTGTTAGATAGAAAATCCAGGATTACTCCAGGCAGCAGAGAAAGTGGTTATGAGCCAAGATATGGAGATGGGAGGGTATAAGGATGAGGAAACATGAGATCTCACTAAAGATAGGGTGTCACTTGGGATTCATGAAAGATTTTATTTGTATGGAGTTGGGGATCAGAGCAATAGATGCCCTTGAAGGCTTATTGAAAACCATTTTCGATCCAAATTAATAGCTCAAGATCTGTGAGTTGCAGCAGAACTGATCCAGCCAAGCAATGTATCCCAATCTCTGATGAATGATGGACGACATCTGTAATATTGTGGGTCAGGGTCAGCGGACAGAATTAAATCAGTGACCGCTTCAGAGTTGGAACCTGAAACTTAAACCTCATGATCAGTGTCCTCTAACTTGAACGTGTGTGTGTCAGTGACACAGAGAGGGCTTGTTAAAAATCAGAAAGCTGGGTTTCCCCTTCCAGAGTTTCTGATTCAGTAGGTCTGGGGCACGGCATAAGAATCTGCATTTCTAACAAGTCCCCAGGTGATGCTGATGGTGCTGGTCCAGGGACCACATTTAAAAACCACCACTCTAACCAAGTGAAACAAATGGCTGCAAAAGAGGCGTCACATAGTGTGTCTATAAATAGGCTTTGTCATGCTGAAGCCCACTCACTTAGTCCTACATGATGAATGGAACAAACACACGACCATCCTTCAGGTTGGAAGTTTTAGAGGTCCTTGCCAGTTTGGATGGAAACCAAATTGAAATCACAGGATCATAAATAATAATAGAACTAAGAATAGGCCTTGGAGATCATTTAGTTCGACATTTTATTTTATAGACTAGATGGAGAAACTGAAAATCAGAGAGGTTTAACTGCATCTAGCTCCTAATGGTAACCCAAGGGTTTAGTTCTTCAGAAGGACCCTGCATAATAAAAAATGGGTGATATTTTATATTAAGAAAATAAACTAGGACTTAGTCCATGTCCCCTTAGTTTACTAAACAGCTTACAGATGGCAACAATATATGAACTCTCCTTTTAGTATTTATACCAAAAATGAAATCTTCATTAAAGGGAGGCCCACATTTGCAGAAAAAGCCCCCCCCCAAAAAAAATTTAATCAAGATTAGAAATCAACTTTGGCTTTTGAGTAAATGGTACAAAACTTATTACTGTACATATTACCTCATGCATTTAAATGGCAAACCATCACCTTACTAATATTGATTTTATTTTATTTAGTGCTTGACTGTTTTTGCTGAATTTCAAGTGCAAGGAAATTGAAACTTAATGCAGGTTCAAGTCCTAGTCCCTGATTATGGGTATGGCAACTCAGGTAACAGCTGCAAATGATTGACAGTGACATTTAAGCAGAGACGCTTTTAGCTACCTCTGGGCTCCCAGGACACTTAGAAATAATTCAGATATGGCTTCTTATCAGCTGGGTATTAGCAGCCTGTAAATATGTGTCCCCATTCACATAATGAGTTCTGACAGAGTAAAAGCCACCTGGAAACATTTAAGCATCCTTTTTCAAGAGGTGGTTTAGCTACTTTTTCCTGAGGGACAACCAATCAACAATATAATTTTAGTTTCTTGACATGTGGGATGTGTCAGGCTTTTGTTTTGCCTGGTTTTGTTTTCTGTTTCCTTCCATTTGTTTGCTGTCTGCGCTCTTCATTTGTCCTTAAAACGGAGAACTAAAAGGATCGGTTTCCTTGTCCAGACTCATGTCATACGTAGATTAAAATGAGTTAATCTTTAATGAAGCAGAAAGTGAGTTATATAAAGGCAATTCCCTTCCAGGCTTTACATGATGGCTCTTGTTCATTTTATTGGGTTCATCAACCAAATGGTTATTTATTCATGTATCTATCCATCATCTATGGAACACTACTACATGGAAGGCATTTTGACAGATTTGGGTTCCCCCCAACGTTGCCATTACTGGAAAAGAAGAAGCAAGGAAATACTGCTCCAACACTAGCCACAGTTTGAGTTCAAATTTCCCTTTTGTTCCATCCATCATGGTATAATTCCTTCACTCTGGGTTGTTTAATCATTTTACAAACAAGATTACTCTTCCATCATTTTCAAAGTGGTGAAATACAGGATTTAATCATTTCTTTGGTTGAAAACTTGAGGTATTATGAAATATTCTATCCCTCAGAAGTTAAACACAGTTTTCCTCAGCCTGGTAGTTTGTGGTCTTCTTTACTCTGGTATTCCTTCCAAACTTAGCCTAACCTTGAGCAAAGCCCACATTCAGGCCTGTCCTTGCACAAACGCCTGAGCGTGTATCGGAGAACCCACCTTGGTGTTTGACTGCTTTCCTTTAACCTAGAATAAACTCCATTTCCATAAAGATTATGAATCTTTTGAAGACCAACTTAAAGTCCCACCTCATCTCCTGGGCTCCTATGGGAGCCCTGACACCACCATGAGTTCTTTCACTGTACATTCAGGACACCAATGTATCCACACCACTCATAGAACACATCAGACTCTGTCTTATATTGTGAATTATTGTTTAGAAATATGTGTGCTATAAGCACTTTGAGGACAAATAAATAAGAGGGCACACATTTCCTTGTATACCTCACAGAGCTTGACTAATTATTAAATGGTCAGATTTGCTTGAATGGGATGAGGGCAGCCTCAGGGATGCTTACAAGAACAATCACTGTGAGAGAAGGTTTATTGGGAATTTTCTCCAATAGAAAAGTGTCCATGGAATCAACTAAAACGCAAAAAATTCAAAACTTTAAGTTCCTATAGGTAGTTACTAAAAAGGTTAGCAAAATTTCTGAAGTCATTGCAGTTGAATTTAAAAGGTTCATTGTTGGTGTTTTGTAAAAAGCTTGGAAAATGAACCTGATCTTCCTTATGTTACATAATGCAGCCTTGCAGTAAGTAGGATGTGTTTATTCTTCAAATAACTTTAGAAATCTTTGCTAATTAACTCATTAATCACTTGCTAAACCAGCAAACTGAAAAGAAGGTTGCAAAAAAAGCCCATGGTTGTGAAAGAAGCAATCTAAAAACTTAACCATATTCTAGAATCTTTAGAGAGTTGAGGGAGGGGCCGTTGTTTGTTTGGCAATACCTCAGGGTGGGTTTTCACTGTTGGTTTCGTTTGGGTATGGAGTTTATCTGGCTTTGATATTAGACAGTGTCTTGCTAAATGTTGCCTATTCTTACAAATAGCTCACAATACCAGCTTTTCACACACTGGATGCTAGGGCTTTTCATTTCATATAGCAGAATAGGAAACAAAGAGAATATTATATAGTGCCCTTTATGCTGAAGCACCGAAATGTGCTTCAAGAAACGCGTAGGAGAGAGATGGAGGAGGGAGGGGCAGAAGAGATGACGCAAAAGAGCAATTCCCAGTTTTAGTAAATGAACCAAATCCTAGAATTAGAAAGAAAATCCTCAAAATGGAAGCTAAAAATGTCTGACAACTTTAAATCTAGAATAATGGCAATTCATAAAATCCAGGCTTAGGAAAATCAACATTTCCCAATTCCTCGACCTATATTTTGAAAGGCATCTATTCAGGTGATGTCTAATCCTTCTGGTGTTGAGATAAACAAGCAGGGAGGTATGAGTGGGTGTCTGGCAGTCTCTTGGTAATGCACAGTCCCACCAATTTATTCACCCTCAAAGCAATTTTAAAATCAATTTAGTATTTCCTGGATAGGTTGACATCATCCCACTCATATCAGAGTGAAGGACCAAGCTGTTTGTTCTGTGCTCATTAAAATTCTGTATGCTACACTATGCAGGAGCCGATGTCTATTTTCAGGACAACCATAAAACAAAGCAATAAATGTTCCTGTCACTGAGGCCAAGGGTAGGAGAGCAGAGAGAAGCCTTGTGGGAAGAGGTCCAAGGGTGCGGCAGGGGGAGGGGGAGCGTGGAATCTGTTAATGTTTATCAAATTCTAGTAATAAAATTAAGTGTCAGCCATATACAGTTAATAAAGCATCCAAAACACAGACATGATTCAAGAGTGCTCCAAGAATTCTAATCTGAGGGAGACCAGCCGGGACAGCAGTCTGGGGACAAACACTTTACACCAAGGAAATCAAAAACACTATTCTTGGATCTTCTTTTATTATTGTCATTAGGTAGTTTTATCCTCACGACCCATATATAGAGGAAAACATGTGTGACCCATCTTGGTACTATTTGCATAAACACGGAACCTAGTTCTTTCAGATACATATACAGTGTGCATACATATACATTTACATACACCAATATATGTATGAATATGCATCTGTCAACAGGACCACAGGTCACGACTGCCATGGTAGAGGGACTCTGAGGTACAGCTTTGCTGTGACCCTGCATCTGAGGGTTGCATTCAGCTCTGCTCTGATGGAGAGAGGCAGGGTGGCTGCAGAAAGCATTAGAGTTTTAGAGAGCTGAAGGAGCAGCTGCCATCTTTCCCCCAATGTAAGATGCATCTTTTGTACAATTGAGTCATTCAGCTGGGCTTGCAGAAACCCCATGGCTCGTCCTCCGGCTGAGGAAGCAAACCTTGCTAAAGGGAGGCTCTCCTATGGATAGAGACACAGCTCTCAGAACACTCAGGGAAATTCACATGCTGTGCTTTCTTCAGTCCCATCTGACGTGTGGAAGCATCTGCCCACTAAGGAAAAATGACCTCAGATTCAGAACAGGACAGTCACTTTGTTTTTGAGCATTCCATATCAAGTATACTTTCTACCCAGACAACAGACAAACCCTGCTTCAAACATCATTTTAAAATTCTCAATGAGGTGTTTGGCTTTTTCTTCTTCTTTTAACCACTACACACACACACACACACACATACACACACACACACAGTGGCACCATGCATATGGTAAGAAACAAGGCTTTTATTCTAAGAAGGGCAGGCTGACCTTTCAGAGTTCATTAGAAACACACCCCAGCGTAAATGTTCAGGCTCTCATCTCTTTAGGATGGGGCTCCATGTTCAAAGGCAATGAAGAATTGCCTGAAGACGCAGCTTCCTCGTCCCGCTGGGTCAAGGGGAAAGGAAGATGGGCAGAGTTCTTCCAGGAGGGATTGGCACTGTGCCCACTTGGCACGGAAAGAAACCAGCTGCCTCTCTGCCCACGTTCTCTATTTTCAGAGGCAGCCTGGTTCCAGTTCTCTGCTGGAAGCTGTGGCCTGGCCCAGAGCAGCCTGGAGGAGGGGACCTCCTGCACTGAGGGAGTGTTTGGGAGTGGGACGTACACCACTAGAATTCATGCCATAGAATGACCTCAAGGAGACACCCTCAGTCTTTTGTCTTCCTGGCCTAGGTCATATTGCCCTTTGAAATGACACGGCGGAGCTAGTGCCCAGTGGGTAGGACATGGCATTGTTCCCTAGGGAACAAAGGAGGGCGCTCTACACCATCTCTCTCTCAGGCCAACCGGGTTCAAATCTCAGCTCTGCCACGTTCCAGTTCTATGACCTGGGACAAGTCACTGAATCTCTCTGTGCTTCAACTTCCTCATATACAAACTGGGGTAATAACAGTCCCTGCCTCATTGGGTACTTACGAGGATTAAATGAAGGCACATTTTCAAAGGACTACGGTCAAGTGCCTGGAACACAGTTAACACCTCTCCCACCTGACTTTCCATTGACCTGCTCCGGGACTGTGAAGGGAAGAACAAAGGAGAACTCATGCTCCCACCTGGCCCAGGCTGGGTGGGGCTGGCACTACCTTCAACCCCCACCCCACCTGCCCCTGCATTTCTCTGGGCTGAGTAAAAGCAGAGACGTTGGCTGACTCAGCTGAAAGTCACTGATGCCCTCATTACCCTGAAATAACCTAATTAAGAGAATCTATAAAAGGAGCTGCTGAGGAAGAGCCCGCTCCATTTACTGAGTACAGGAGTGTAGGTTCTGGAAAGCTGATTTGAATGGAATGCTGGGCCTTATTTATTATTAACAACGGAGAAACTGGAACCATTGAGACTTTGTCTTCATTCCATTTTGAGTTCCTACAAATAAAACACCCACTCCCTGGAGAGGTTTGCCAATTATCTGCAACCTGCTTGCCGTGCAGCGGGATCACAGGGGGACTGGCCAGGGCACCGGAGGGATTGGCACTGAATCTGAAACGACAATGGAATCTGTGCTCTTACAATGAAGACGGAAGATTT